ACGGAAATATATATTTTTTCACTCAGTAGTTTTATACAGGTACGGACAAAAAGTTATTACTCTTCAAAACAGTTAAAACACATGTAGGTGGCGCCCCCTACAAATAGGAGTCATTTTGACATTAAAATCGAATTTCTCTTTAATTAATCTTTAACTTGTTATTTCCAAACTTGGTGTCTGAATTTCTCTATTTGTGTCTGTTTGCGTATCAAATTTTTAATTACTTCGGGTTATTGTTAAAAGGAATTATACATATTTTGCTGTACAGCATTTCCCAAGGCATTTCCTTTGATTCTTTATTGTTTTTGAACACCAAAAAATTGCACATACTTGACATGTATTTGGAATCTTTCCAGGACTTTAAAAAATATCTCGCTTGAGGTTTATAGAACATTTCTAATGATTTTTGATGAATTGCTAAATGTTAAGGTAATTTCTAGTAGTGGGAACTATCGAATGAATACTATCGAAACATTCGATAGTTGCAATTCATTCGAATAATTCGATAGCTAGTAAGAAAACATTCGTTGAAAACTATTCGAATAAAAATTATCGAATAGATGCGTCATCTGCCTTGAAATATTTTATTCTAGTAATTCGGCAGCAAAAACCATTCATTTATAAAATTCATTCGTTTATAAAATTCATTCATTTATGAAATTCATTTATTGGTCAGGATCGATTATAATAAAATATTAACTGGATTTTAGTTGTCGCCCGGCGACGTAGGTTTCTTTCCGAGAAACCCGACAGCGGTCGGTGGCAATGCTAGGAAAGAAGGCGGCATCTTTGATTTTTTGTGGAGTCAGATAAAGATAAGGACACATTATTTTTTTTATTGAGGTGCTAGTATTTACACAGAAAATATATTATGAAGGGCGCTGTTGCCATATATTGGTATTAGTTGATATTAGCAAAGAATATTATTGTTTGGCTTTAGTTAGTTAGGGATAGTATGTCTATATATTTTGCATTCTTTTTATTAATATTCTGTTGTTACACTGCAATAATACTTGTTATTTTGGATGTAGGAAAATGATTTTTAATGTTTTTAAGCAAAGACTGGTTTAATAAATAATAATAACAGTAATAATTTGTTATACCTATTAACAACAAAATTTAAAATCATTTAATATAAACATTTTTTAAGTAGTAGCAAAATATAAACAACAAATTAGATGTCAAAATTATTTATATTAGATCCTATTTAAAAATAATATAGTCTCTAAATTTTTTGTGTGGCAACGTTGGTTTATAAATAATAATAATTACAGAACTAATTTGTTATATTAACAACAAATTTTAAAATCATGAAATATCAACATTTATTAATTTTCTAAGCATGCAGTGTAATGGAAGGAAAATATAAATAAAAAATTAGAAATCAAAATTATTTATATTAGGTGCTTTATATTACTATTTAAAAATAATATATTTACTTTTACTGGCATTTACTTTAAAAAATAAATGAAATATTTCTTCGCAAAAAACTACATGTAAGAGAATTAGCATAAACAAAATACAAACATCGTTAACTTTTTTTTTAATTGGCACGTGTAAAACTTTCAATTTAATTTTCTCACCCCATAGTTTGAGTTCGATAATCATTTACTTAACCACATTACTTAAATATGATTATTAAGTTCAACTAATTCATATTATTAAAAATTAAAACATCTAAAATACAAATACGTATTTTTAAAATTAATTCTAAGTTCATCTCATCTCTCTTAAAAATTGCTACTTCTCAAAATTACCCAATAAAAAATAGACCATATACCATATAAAATTAAATAATTGAAAGATCGGGCTACGGAAAATCACACAAATTTTCGGAAAAAATTTGACCACCTCCACACGCACACAATCGTCAATTAAACAAACTACTATTTTAGTATTTTAAATATTTTAATAAACGCAAAAATAGCACACTATTTATACGTCGTAGTTATAAAAATTTGGAAGAACTAATAATGCACTGACGCACACAAAAATCAAACGAATACTAAATTCTAAATTTCATTTATCAAAAGCATTCGATAGTCGTGGCTCAACGATAACCATTTAGTCGCACGGCGAGGTTGTCACATATGCTTTAGTATACAAATGAATGATTGATTTTATTCGAATAAAACCATTCGATAGTTGAAATCATTCATTCAGTAACCATTCGATAGTCTAATTCAATCGATAGTTCCCATCGCTAGTAATTTCCATATGATTGGAGACACCTTTATAACGTATACATGAACCTGAAGTGGATTCAAGATTAGGATTTACATAAATGTTTTGGTACAAAACTCCACTAATGTAATTAGAATTTTATATCTTTGACAACATTATTTAGAATTAAATAGAAAGGCAGCTACATATATTCTAACCAGGCATATACCGTGTGCGTCTCAAAAGTGGCTGACCCCTATAAATTTTTTATTTTTTTCAGATAAAAAACGAGATTTTTTATGTTAGTATATGACATAAATTAAAATTGATTGACGTATTCAATTGTTTTCCGTCACTTCCTGTTTCACCGGAAATGACTATAGCTTTTGATTTTTAAATGACACCCTCTGTATTTTTTATTTACTTTATTCGATAGAAAATTACAGTCTGAATAGAATGACATATCATATGTCAACTTTTGACATTTTCGCATATGGTTTATTTGAAATTGTAACATGCAATTCACAAAGACGATTTGACTCGAAATACCATGTGTGGTACCAAATTATTCGTAAAAAATGCCTTCTCCAAATACGCTAATGAGCCACCCTTGTCTCATTTGAAAAAATTGACATATTTTATTAAAAATACGATTTGGGTATCTTTTAATCGGCCAGGGCAAGACACGAAAAATATTAGACGGCCAAATATATTTTACAAGGTTCTTTGAATAAAAATTTGTGTTTTTAACACAGCCACTCTAGATTGAAATTTAAAATACATTTTTTTTAACGAAAATATAAAAAGTTGACATATAGGTATCATTCTATTCGAGTGTCATTTTCTATCGAATATAGCAAAAATATACCAAATACCAAATGTGCCATTTTAAAATCAAAAGATGTAATCATTTCCGCTGAAACAGCAAATGACCAAAAACAATTGAATATGTCAATCAATCCTAATTTATGTCATATACTAACATACCAAATCTCGTTTTTTATCTGAATAGGTAAATAAAAAAGTTATAGGGGTGAGCCACTTTTCAGACGCACCCGATATACCAAAATATAATAACTCCCCTTTGAACTCAAACAACCTGCAGAACTACATAGTATCCCAAAGAAGAGGTATTATGAAAAACAAATTTAGAAAATTTTATCACCCTGTATCTCAAAAGTTAAGATATTTAGGACATACCTACACATTCATATGATGTTTTTTTCTTAAAATAGTTTCAAGAATCACCCCATTAAATATTAACATCCCCTTATATATTAACAGTGTGATTACTTACAAGGTATTACTTATAATTTTTTTTACAGGGCGAGTACTAAATAAGGGCAAATATTTTTAGAGATATTATTTTGATCCCAGAAACAGGATTATGAGGTTTTTTTCGTGAAAAAAAAATTTTGGAATATTTTTTTTTTTTTAATTTTTAGTTAAAAAACATAAGGTAGTAGATTAAATTTACAAGAAAGAAAATGCAAAAAAGATCCAGTGGTTCTCAAAATTTTAAGATTTTTTTTGTGGAAATTTTCAAAGAAAAATAATTCGGTTATTTTGGATTTATTTGAAAATCGGTAAAGAGAAAATATGTTTCTTTTATCGATATCTGCTAGCCCTGAAAATATGTGCACTTATTTAATACTCACCCTGTATAATTTGCAAGGTTTGAAATAGTTTAAAAAATTATTTGTAAGGTTTGAAAAAACTAACATGTTCTATTCGGAGTAAAAATGACTTTGTGCCTCAGCTGTAATGCAAAACGTATAGCCTCGCCACAAAAAGTGTAATTTTTACTCCTAATAAAAACAATATACTATTATACAGGGTGGGTCGTAAATAAGAGCAAATATTTTCAGGGCTGGTAGATCTCGATAAAAGAAACATATTTTCTCTTTGCCGTTTTTCAAATTAGTCCAAAATAACCGAGATATTTTACAATGAAATTTTCCAAAACAAAATGTTTTTCGTTTACTTTTTGAGAAGCGCTGGTTCTCTACTGGGTTTTCTTTCTTGTAAATTTAATCTATTACCTATGTTGCCATATTATCAATAAATTATGTTTTTAACTAAAAACTAAAAAAAATCCAAAAATTCCAAATTTAAAAAAAAATCGCGAAAAAAAAACTCATAATCGTATTTCTGGGGTCGAGATATACTACCCCTAAAAATATTTGCACTTATTTAAGACTCACCCCGTAAAGCAAAGGGCATGCATAATATATTAACTTTAAAAAATATACCTGCACTCCCCATAACACATTTTTATTTACTATTTTGCATTTCAAGGTAACAGAACATTTCAGAACAATATTTACATTATATAACAATAATTTCAATGTTGTCGCTTGTCTCATCGATAAAATTCATTATTGCGAACCTGTAAAGCATGCACTAAAATTAGGCGGCGTTTTTTACCTACTCGCTTTTATAAATTTAGCGTTTTTATTGACGAAACGAACATGAGTATATACGTATAATAAAAACAAACAACTGTCATTTCAGCGGCAAGGATATGAACATGGAGCAACGAGTGGGCGTGATACTCATTTAAATTTCTCCGGTATCAACATAATATTAAACAATAAATGTAAACTAGATCGTCTTATATTAATTAAAAAAAAAACGCCGGTCAAATAGGAATTTCCCAACTTTCTAATGACAGTTTTCTTTTTTAAAAACTTCGTATAGATAGAAGATCAGATTATTAATATTGTTTTTCGGTTTTAAAATAAAAAACAATGCCTCCATCGATTCAAATAAAAATCTCGTATCGCAACACACGAACTGAATCCCTAATGAATTCGAGTCAAGTTTCGAGGCCTTACCTCGTCCCATTTTATGAATTTCTCCCCATTTTGCAGAGCCTGGGGTACTTCGATGGGCTTGAGCGATACGGCGTTCTGCGAGGGGGGTGTTGCTTTCGACATTTTTCTCAGGGAAAAACCTTACGATGGATGATGAGAACTACTCTTAACCCGACATCGTAGCGCGTGAAATCTTGGGAAAATATAGCCAGTTTATCGCGAATCGACACCTCACCAAATCGTCAATCGTTGCTCGCGGTTCATCGCAACGACATTTCTGTGATTTATTTTTTTCCTTCGATGAGACGAGAACGTTCAAACGATATGTTCCGACGGGTCCGCGAAACAAACCATCTTCGCCTACTATTCGCTGAATATTCACTCTCCGACCGAGCTTGTTGCTCCGCTGCTGCTTCCTGAATTCTCAGTGTTGCTACCTGCTGCAGCCATTTTTTAAGGCCGCCCGTTCCTGCGAGCCTTTCGTAGTTGGAATCAGCGTAGACCGGCACAGCGCGGCAACGTTGGAAATTTCAAGGTTCGGCGATATGTGCGCGCATGTCGTAGCGGATCCGTGACGTTCCATTGTTTTCTTTTCTTGTGTAAACGGCTAAACGGTTCGACACAAAATTTTGTCGACTTCAAATACCTAATCGACTTTTTATAAAAAAAAATCGTTCCACATTAAACACTCGCACTATTTTATTCTTCAATCTAATTTTAACTACGCTAATGGGTTTTCCTGTTTAGTTGTAATAGCTAAAAAATTCCATACGATCGAAAAAAAACGGTGTCAGAGATGGTTTTGAAATGTAGATTGCTCATTTTATGTACAGGGTGGTCCGAACTGTATTCCAGAAACTTCGGGAGCATATTCTGCAGAAAAAAATAAGTAAAAAATTTCGTATTGCCTAAAATGATTAGTTTTGGAGATACAGGGTGTAGAAGTTTCATTTTTATTTTAATTTTTTCCAAATAATTTCTGAAGTAACGTTGGATGAAAATTGGTGTCTGGGAGTTTTTAGACATGAGAAATTTGATTTTAGTGTCAATATGACTCCTACTAGTAGAGGGCGCCACCTACATATTTTTAACTGGTTTGAAGAGTAATAACTTTTCGTCCGTACCTGTATAAAACTAGTGAGTAAAAAAATATACATTTACGACGTTTTTTACGTGAAAAAGGTCCCTTGATAAAAATCGCTACTAGTAATGGTTTTCGAGATATTTGGAATAGAAATTATCAATACATATCATCATTGACATAAATTAAACATGTTGACTAAATAGTTATTAGACTGAAATCATAAATTTGTAATGTTTTTTTGTGTCAAAAGTTCAACAGAAACTGTTTTATCATCATTTTTTGCAGAAAAATTTATGATTAATTTAAAAAAATAAAAATTTCCCAAATTTATTATTTCTGTGAAATAACTATATCTACTTAACGTGTTTATTTTTCGTCAATAATGACATGTATTGACTATTGATTTTTTGACATGTATTGATTTTTACAAAGAGATATTTTTTACGTAAAAAATCACAGGGATGTATATTTTTTCGCTCGGTAGTTTTATACAGGTACGGACAAAAAGTTATTACGCTTCAAAATAGTTAAAACACATGTAGATGGCGCCCTCTACTAGTAGGAGTCATATTGACATCCAAAACTCCCAGACACCAATTTTAATCCAAATATTGACGCTACTTCAGAAATTATTTGGAAAAAATCAAAATAAAAATGAAACTTCTACACCCTGTATCTCCGAAACTAATCATTTTAGGACATACATTTATACGAACTTTTTTACTTATTTTTATCTGCAGAATATGCTGCCGAAGTTTCTGGAATACAGTTCGGACCACCCTGTATATTTAACACGAATAAATTCAATACAAATACAATACAATACAATACAAACCAAAGTTATAATTGTATAATTAACACACCCTGTAGAAATCTTATACTTTATATTCATCAGCACTTATGTTCATATTTAAGCCGCTGCACGACGCAGGCACAGGGTTCCTTCAGAATCCATCAACGCGTATTGTACTCCCGCTTGTTTAATAAATGTTTTTAAAAACATCTCCACAAAAACCTCAAAATTAACTGGCGCAGTCGGTAGGATTGTAAAAGATAGACCGTCGGAGTGAACCGAAACGAAAATTCGCCCAGAAATCGTCCGGATTTTCGCGGAAAAGTTCTCGTTCGTGTCAACGATTAATCGACAAACTGTCTGCGGAGTTTAATCAAGTGAAACCAGTGCAATATCGGAAGAAGAAGGTTCCAAGTCCTGGGGAACGAGACAAACATCGCCCAAGTACCTAAAGGAGCGGACGGAGGGACAAAAATCGCCCAAATTCCATAGATAACCTGTCTAGGGGAAAGAACAAAAATCGTCAAGTACCTACTAGAAAGAGCGGAAGGACAAAAATCGCCAGAAGCTCATAGTTAAGAAGAAAACGAAAACAACGAGAAACAAAGCAACCAAACCACCCAGAAACCCCATGAAAAGTCACTTAATGTAAGTACCTTTCAAACTATCCTTTTAGCCCTAAGTATTTTAACCAATTTACCTTATTTTTAACTATAATATTAATACAAGTAAAATAAAAATTTTCAAATCATCCAGATTTTGATGTGCGAAAATTTCGAGAATTTAATCAATCTAGTCAACAACCTATCAATAAGTTCTGAATCAATTAATATTAAAAAACCAATCGAAAATAAAATGGCTACACCTAATTATCAGTTTATTAAATATCAAGCAGATAACATCCCAAATTTTGATGGTAATTCTAAACAATTGTGTAGATTTTTGAGATCTTGCGAACACTTTCTTTTAAATCATCAAAACCCAAACACGCCTGATGCACCAATAAATATTTGTTTATTTGACACTATAATAGGAAAATTAAAAGGTAGAGCAGCAGATATAATTGCCTCTAGAGTAGAATTAGATTCATGGCAAAAAGTAAAAGATTCTTTAATTGTAACATTCTCTGATCAACGATCCGAAGATTGTTTAGTTCAAGATATAATTTCTATGAAACCGATTAGAAATGAACCTATCCAAAATTTTGCATTAAGATTACAAGACGCTAGAAGTTTGTTATGTATCAAAATTAATAATTCTGATGATTTAGATCCAGTTAAATTAATAAAAATACAACAATACGATGAACTATGTTTAAAGACATTTATTAATAACTTAGATTATCACACACAACTTGTAGTAAGATTAAAAAACCCAAATTCACTCGAGCAAGCAATGGCATTTGTAAGAGAAGAAGAAAACTTTTTAAAATTTAAAAATCAAACAATTATGCATAAACCAATAACCAATAATCAATTTACGCAAAGACCAAATAATACAAATAATATTTTTAAACAACCAAATCAATCATTTAATAATTTTCCAAAACCTAACTATAATCAATCTGGATTTAGACCTAATTTTAATAACGGATATAATAATAATAATTTTAATAATAACAATTTTAGACCACCTAATTCTTTTAATAATAATAACCATAATCAAAATCCATTTAAACGCACAAACTCAGGTACGTTCAAAACAAATAATTTTACAAGACCACAATTTAATAATACCTTTGGTAGACCATTTCAAAATAACCCATCTACTTCTAAACTACCACCTGTAGAGCCTATGGACACATCTTCAGGAAATTCACGAATAAGCAATCGAAAACCAATACCTAATTTTGCTATCGATAATAATCAATCAAATCAATACGAAAACGATAATTTTAATCAATGTTATGATGAAGAAAATTATTTCGAACAATCAGATGAATACCAATACGATTCTAATGAATATAACTATGACCCAAATCAATATCAATATCCGGAATATAATTATGAAAATTATGATAATAATGAAAATTTAGAAAATGATCAAAATTTTCAGATAACCGAAAAATCAGAACAAACGACATAATTAATTTAAATAATACATCTTATTCACATTTACCAATGATATTTATACCAGAACTAAATGCTAAATTTTTAATAGACACAGGATCAGGAAAAAGCTTTATTAACCCTTCTTTAGCTTATCATTTTTATCCAGAATATATTTATAATGAAAACTTTACAGTAAAAACAGCGCATGCTATTTCTTATCACAACGAAGTTTTAGTAATACCTATATTTCCATGTTTTAACATAGACGGATGTCATAAATTCTTTATATTTGATTTTTCAGAAAAATATGACGGATTATTAGGAATTGAATTTTTAAAACAAATTTACGCTAATCTAGACATATGTAATTCCATATTAAGAACGCCTTATGCAGATATTACTCTTTTTTATAACCAATTTAAAAATGATACTTGTGAAAATAAAAATAAAAATCAATTTAAACCTTATACTTTCTCAGTACCAGCACGTACTACTCAAAAGATCAAGTTGCCTGTTAAACAAAAAAACGGTACAGCAATTTTTAATTATATACAATTTAGCGATGGAGTTGAAATACCCGAATCTTTAATCACAATATCAAATTTCTCGACATATGTAATGCTAACTAACGCACGTGAAAAAGACATTAATATAACTATAAATAAACCTTTTGACACAGAACCGATATTAGAAAATGAAGTAAATTTTATTGAAAAAATGGAAACCAATACAGAATTAGATTTTCATATTGATACTTTAAGAAAACAAAATTTAAAAAACCTAAGATTGAAACATTGTAATAAAGAAGAATATTTAAAAATCAGAAATTTATGCTATCAATATCGTGATATATTCCATTGTGACGGAATACCATTAAGTTTTACTAATCAAATAAAACATGAAATAAAACTAACAGATGAATCTCCGATTTATACAAAATCATATCGATACCCCGAAATTCACAAAACAGAAGTAAAAACTCAAGTTAATAAAATGTTAAATGACGGAATAATACAACATTCAAATTCTCCATGGTCAAGTCCAATATGGATAGTTCCAAAAAAATTAGACGCGAGTAAAAAAAGAAAATGGCGCATAGTAATCGATTTTAGAAAATTAAATTTAAAAACTGTAGACGACAAATTTCCATTACCGAATATTACAGATATATTAGATAAATTAGGAAGAGCAAAATATTTTAGTACACTAGATTTAGCTAACGGTTTTCATCAAATAGAAATGAAAAACGAAGATATACCAAAAACAGCATTCTCAACAGATACAGGTCATTATGAGTTTAAAAGATTACCATTTGGATTAAAAAACGCACCTGCCACATTTCAACGTGTTATGAACAATATTCTTCGCGGTTTACAAAATGAAATATGTGCAGTATATTTAGATGACATTATTATTTTCTCAACGTCTCTTGAAGAACATATACAAAGACTAAAAACTATTTTTGAAAGACTAAGAAACGCAAATTTTAA